AAAAAAGTCACGGCTTATAGTCCGAAAAATACGGTAGTTTAAATGAGACTACTGACTTACATGAAGAGCTCACACACCTTTGAAGACTTTGGTTGAACCGTTTTCTCTGCGTCAGTCATTTGTAGCATTCACTAAATTTCCCTTAATAATACAGCATCTGTCTCGCTCTGTTCAACTCGCTCTGCAGCTGGTCTGGTTGAGTTTTTTTTCTTTCAACTTTATTGACAAAACTCTGCGGTAATTGACAAGTAAACGACTCTGCGACATGCCAAGGGACATAGATCACCAGGCACAATGAATCAATAGTGAAATTCGTTGCAAACACTTTTGATAATTTTATGGATTTGTTGTTGCAGCCCTAAAAACAACACAGTAACTTATAATGTCCACTCTGACTAATCAAATGAAGACAACAGGTTAAATGTTTTCTCTCGTAAAAAAGAAAAAGAAAAAAGAAGAATTTAAAATTATTCAGTCTTCTTACTTAAAGTGTTTTTCACATGTTCTTATTTAACCTTACCAAAAACACTGTCACATGATTTATGGTTATGTAATGACTTAACCCTGAAGAGCAGTATTGCTGACTCTCTGCTTTGGCAACAAAGGTAATTACAAAATTCTTTGCTTCCTCTTGTCCTGACAACTGTTACGTTCTCTTTACTCTCGACTCCATCGGCAGTATTTCTCATCACAGACTCTGCCACACTCTGCTAATCATTTACACATTGCTGCCAGTTACCCAGCACTGGGATGTTACCACAGACAACTTTWTCTAGTAAAAGATCTATTTAAAGCGAGACAAGGGCCAGGCAGTATTACAGTTATAAGATATATCAAGGTCTACTCATGTGTGTACAAAGAGTATTCTGTTTAACACAATATTCATAACATAATAGTTCTTGTCTGCTTCATCTTTGATCTAAGAAATAAAATAAAAATATTTTAGAAAATCTTAAAATGTCTTAAATTACTCTACATGCAACAGTGTTTCTCCTGTAGTACTGTCTTTGGGAAGGTGGGGGTGAAAATATTGAAACTAGGGCTGCGCGGTATATGCAGGAGACGGTAGAAACAATGGGCCTCATGCAAGAACATGTTCGTATTCTTATCCTAAATTTCTCTTACTTTTGTTCGTACGAAGGGTTCGTACGAACATGTCAC